GAACCAAAATAGATACAAAATTTTGATATACAATAAATTTAAATAGTGATATATAAAATTTACACTTTATTTTGTCCGACAAAAAAGTGAATTTACTTTAATTTTTGACGTTATACAGAAAAGTTTTAAGTACAATAATTTTGTTTTATTGTTATTTTTGTAGCATTGTATATTAACTAAACGAATTTAAAAAAATTTTCTATATTCAATAATCATTTAACAGATTTTTCTGTTTCTCCACTTGGAATCACTGAGCGAAGATGACCACACTGGAGCAGCATAATTAACCACTGACTGACCAATCGTTTTATAACAACGGTGTATGTCCAGGTGGAGACCATAAGGTCCATTGTGATTCCCTTCAAGAAGTGAAGATTCAAAAACAGGGAAACAAAGAACACAACAACAAGACGAGAAAGTCCCCCAGATCGTCGTGGAGCCTATTCCCTCAACCTGCAATAGTCCGGTATACTACTGTCCCATTTACTGGCAAAGATTCTGTCTAAGCAGTGCCCAGTTAGAATCCCTATCAGAACCCTTTGACTGCGTCTATCCAGTCCTATGAGTAATTTGGTAGCACCCATGTCAAGTTTTGGCAAGATGGCCTTTGATATTTCGCAATCCAATCTACTGTACCAGGACTGGTTGATGATGTCACGTGTTCTCTAGAATATCAACCTATGACAAATGGGTGGTATTACCATTCTTTCCGTGCCAGCTATATCAAGGTTCGAACCTAATGTAGCTAGTTCGTCCCCAACCTTATTACCATGAACGTTACAAACAAACAGTCTCATAATTTCCTGTAACCAAGTGCGAATGTAACGTGTGACAGCCTAATGCTCTGAAATCAACTTGACTATCAATATAAATAGTCACAACTGACCCCGGATCAATATGATTCCGTATCAGTTCCGTCGCTTTTCAGATCGTCAGGATCTCTGCTTGGAAGACACTACATTCGACAGAGAGTCTGAAAGACCGTTTTATGTTGATATCCACGATTTAGACAGAGGCACCCGTGTCAGTATCCATCTTGAAGACTGCACACTAGGGATATAACTATTGACATTTGTTGCATACATATATGCAAGTTGGCATAGCATTTTAGGCCATTAAAAAATGTGAATAAAAAAATACGTTGTTATTTTTTCGCGGTTTTTAAAAAAGTTCACGCACCAAATGTCTGTCCGTATGTTCTTTAAAATTAATTTTTTGAAGGCTCCATAAATCTCGAGAATCCAAATCTAAAATAATTCAATTAGATATGCTTTTAAGAATTTATTTGATTAAATCCAGTAAAATCGGTCCATGATTAACAAATATATATTATAGACTTTTTGATTTAGGGATGTAAAATAGTATATTTGCGTAAAAGTCAATAAGTCCAGAGATATAGGCAGTGATGAGTCGCAATATGACAAAAGTATACTTTTCGGTAAAATATTACCGTATATAAATATTAAAATTTTAAAATAATAAAAACTTGAAAAAATTTGGTTTATATTAGAAATTAGGGTTGGTGCGTGATGTTTTTGATTCCAAATGATATAAAAAAATTATTTTCATTACTTACACAACATTGGCAATCACGGGGTGGTATGCCAAAAATTTCGCCAAATTAGTTATATCCCTACTGCATACCCCCCAAACAGTCTCCGTAATTCCGCGAAAGGTATTACTCTGAAAGTAGACCTACTTCGTACAAAATTTTTCTATGATTGTCGCGAACAGATTTGATTATCGAAGACTCGTAGAGTCTTAGTATATTCCTAGCCACCACAACCACTACAAAATGTTCTATAGGTGACAGGTTCAGAATGATGTCCAAGGTCGCTTGTGGAGTACTTCTAATGCTACCAGTAATACCAATAGAGGCACACCTTTGAGCTTTATTGAGCAACTTTCTGTAACTGTCCTTCTTAATGCCTCCCGCCAGACAGTGCAACCATTAAGGTACAGGGCCAATGTACGCGGCATGCGGACGTATGCGGCAATCAGCTGCTCGTCTTTCCGCTTGAAAATTTCCGTAAAGGGCCAATGCACGCGGGATCAGTTGAGCACAAAAATATATAAATAAATCACTTTTCAATTTAAAAATAACACGTTTTTTGTATTAAATTTTGTTTGTTAAGTAGGTCTGTGAATTTATTCACAACCCCCTCTAAATCCGTTTGCAACAATTCTTGCAAGGCCCGTTGTGCCAACCCAGAATTTACCTTATCGTTAAAGGTTCCCCAATTTGTCTTCCTAGGATCCCTAAAAGGTGTACTCCTAGCCAAAAGAAAATCTAGTGTGAAGGTAATGCGACTATGGTCTGAAAATGAACTTTCCGTTACAACCTTCCAATCCCTAACGAGATCTTCTAAACGGTTACTTAAGGTTATATCTATAACTGCCTCCCTATCCTTGTTCCTGAACGTCGGCGTATCGCCCTTGTTACAGATGATGAGAGGAAGGCTACTAAATCGGCTGAAGCTGCTTCACAGTTATGCAGGTTTATCTGCACCACTAGCAACCTCTTTGGTCGTCATGTTTCGGGTACCGGAACCTGACAGTGCGAAGACCAAATCTTATCTTGGACATCTATGGACTTAAGATCCACTGGGAATCGAAAGTCGTTGCCAGTACTCTCCTTACACCGATTTTAAGAACTCCAAGGAGTTAAGGAGCCCTAAACCCAGTCTGCACCATTGAAGGAAACATCCTCCGAATTATCCTCAAATATGGCGATTTCATCAATCAGCCTACCTTCAATTAATTGCCAGAAATCGGTACTGATCCTCCCTCTGGATCATTCCGACCACTCCTGGCAGGTTGGCTTCTTCACCTTCTTGCTGGATGAAGAGGGTTGATCATCTCCAGATCTGGCTCTCTTAATTGTCTCCTTACGGGGCCCCGTAGTACGTTATCTCAGCTTTACGGAAATATAATTTTTTTATCAAAAATGCAAACTTTTCAAAAACCATTTTCGATACCGAAATCAATAAAATTTTCCACTGTGCGGGGGCATTTAGCAGCGTCAGCCGGGGTTGGATCAGATCTCTTCGTTGAGCTTGGTTACTTTCACACCACTGGTTTGGAGAGTCGGTCACTATCGGAGCCCTTTCCCTACTGACGTTCTTGCAGAGGTCAGTATAAGAGCGGGCCGGAAGTTTGCCAGTCCTCTTTACCTTTCCTGGTGTCTTGGCTACTTTGCTAGGGTTTTCGGGTGGTAGACCTTTGACCTCCGCAGCTCGCTCCGAAGACATGAGCGCCTTGGTTGTTGGGGTACCACCCACTTGGCCTTTTGGCCGACTGCAGGCACAGGGTATACAGAGGCGTCACGAGCAAAAAACTATTTCCCTCTCTTTCGCACAAAACGAATTCAATCATTTTTTTTAGCTGTATTTTATATACAGTGAATCAACTAAGTTTTTTGCCTACCTTTTTTTAAGAGAATTTTGTTTTTTGTTCATAAATAAAATTCCAAAAAACAGGTAAAAAGTAAATTTATGGTTTCCAATTGAAAATAGAGATTGTGTAGAATGGGAAAACCAAGAAAAAAATTTTAAAATAAAAATTTTGGTGCATTTGTTGTTGCATTTTATTATTTTTCATCATAATTTGCACGTCAATAAAGTATTTTGCATATTGAAATTTCCAGTTAATTTCGTTGGGTTTTTCAAATTATTTTTTAATTGCTTTTTGGAATTTATTGTTTTATTGTTAAAAGGACACGTGTTAAGTATTTTTCAATTGTAATTTTTAAAAATCATATCCTCATTGTGTGAAACGGTGTAGTTATTTGCGTAAAAAATGTTTAAAAGGAAATAATGAGGCAATTCCAATATAAAAAACTAGTTTAGATTTTTAGGACAAATATAAATCAATGAAATTCAATTATGTGAAGGTTAATCAATCATTAAAAAATATAAAATATAGAAATTGATGAAATAACACAAAGAATTATTAAAAAAAACGCACTGAGTTGTCATTCAAAATCTTTAACTGCCAAAGGAGAGCGACTTGTATTCAAGCAAAAACCATTGAAGTCCTCATTTATCTTCTCCAAAGTCCATATACGAACTTAAAAGAACACTACGTATAAATTTTGACCACTAAACAGAACTTAGGTTGCTTCGAAACAATATAAAGTGAACTATCGTGTGGTACGGGAAAAATACTTAATTTAGATATTTACAAATAGAGGCGGTTCTCATCACCTAAGATCCACAAAAGCAACATTTTTCAACTAATACATACACTTATATATAGTTAGAACCCAAATCAAGAATAACTATCCAAATCCAACTACGCCCACTGTATTTTATTCATAAAATAATGCATTCAAAATATGAGGTAGAATATCAAGATTCTAGCATGTAATAGTTCTATAGTGGTATACGGTGATATCCCCATACTTAGAGTGGCTAGGACGGTACTTGGTGTTAGCTTTATTGAATAAGAATCAATATTACACAATTCTAAATGAAATTCACACAGTACTCCCCAAATAGATGGGGTTTCCGTAATGTAGTTTTTGTTTGTCAATACAATATGACCAAAAACCCAGATTATTTTTGTTATAATCTATACATTTATACCCCACTAAAAATTTTTTCTAGGTCCAAATCCATTGATTTCCTAATATATCATGTATCCAATTCAAAATTATGTACTTATTATTCTCGAAATTAAATCAAAGAAACGATAGATTTCATGTTAAGTCAAATATTGAGAAATTCTTATAGGTATATAGGATAATAAATCGGTTAAGAAATGTCCAAACTTAGTCGTTCCACTACTAAAATATCTAAAAAGTGTCATTCTAAAACATAGGAGTAATAAAAATATTAAATTTTATAAAATAATGCAGCAATATGTTGCGGGTGTATTTTCGTTTTGTATGTGGGCCTCGTTGTTTTTAAAACGTTGATTTGTTTTCTGTATGAATTTTTGTTTAGTTCTTTAAGTTTGTTGTTTGTAGTTTTTTTTTGTGTTTGTTAGTTTTTTTTCTCTTTTTTTTAGGCAGCATTGTTTCTTTTCTTTGTGGTTTTGTAGGGTCCGGTCCTGGTAACGATGGCCCAGTGGTAGGAGTTCTTTTTGTTTTGTTGAATTTAATTTTTTTGATTGTTTATTTTATTATTTTCACATAGATGTTTTTTGTTTATGTTTGCTCAGTTTTATTGGTGGTTGAATGTCAGCTGTTCATTACTGGAAGTCCATTATGGAAAATGAGCTTTTGCATGCAGAGTTGTATAAAAAGAGTAAAAACAAGGTTGAATTTATAGGTAGATTTGTAGTTTATCCGAAGGAAGAGAAAAGTTAAACGATTTTTCTCTGCGAAATTGCTTGTAATGAGTTCAAGGCCATAAGAAATAAGTTAATGACCCGATGTAATCGTGAGAATATCACCTTTCTCCCTATGTGTGTGTTTCGCTCTGTGTATGTTGAATACGTATTTGATTTTCTGTTCAATTGTAAGTTATTTTGTAGCGGACCTTGGTCATCAAAAGGGTTGAGAATCACACCCCGAGGTGATGCCGCGTGAGCTAGTAGGGTGGTGGAATCCAGTGGCCAACAGAAGGTTCGTAACAGAATATGGCGCCCAAACTGAAAATAGAATGAAAGTAATTAGTGTAGATGACCAAAACACTAGGCAATATACTACTAGAATAATTAAAATAGCACTACGTACAATTTCCCAGATATGCTGATAAAAATGAATGGTCGCAGCCGTTTTTGTGTAGTTATTCAGAAAGTCAGTTGTGCGACAGAATTTCAGTTTTATTAGAATACTGGCTAAATTGCACGACCTATTCAGACGAAGATATGGTGTATTCTTAGTAAATGGAATAGAATTCATTCTAAACGTTTACCATAATTCGTGTTTTGTTTATTAATTTGTATTAGTTCAGTTTGAAGTTTTTTTTGTGGAGCAGTTGCAATGGTCACATCGACAGCCACATTGGTTATGAAACTGGTGGTCAGTTGTGTCGATGGAAATTGTTTACTGTCCTCTGGTGATTACAGATTTAAAGTAATACTAGAGCACAGAAGAAACTGTTTAGTTATGAATGATCCTTTTTTTTTAACTTATTGATTTAGTGAAACATTTACACACATAGCTCAGATATAGGGAATCAAATATTATCAACCGTCAAACCGTCGCCATTCAATAATCCCTAGTTTAGTATTTTATAGCAAATTTGAATTTAAATTATACTTATTAAAATTTATTGTTTTGTTTATCTGTATTGATTTAGTTAAATATTTGATAGTTTTGTATCGGGTTTGTTGTATTTATTTTATTATTTTTGTTTTTTGGTAATTAATTATTATTATATTTTAAGTTTTTTTATTATTTTATTATTATTTTTTTTTTATTTTTATGTCCTTTTTTTTATTAGGTATTTGTGTATTTAATCCTTTACTTGTCATGTTTGCAGGTTTTTACCAGAAATTGTAAAAGAGAACAAAATTGAGAAATAAAAATTGTTTTCTCTTTGCCAGAACTTGCAGGTTTTAGCCAGAACATTTTTTCCTGGCAAATAGAAAAAAATTTGTCAAATAAATTATTTGTTTATAAAAATACATTGAAAACAAAAACTGTTTAAAATTTTTGATTTATTTTGATAAATAAGTATGTGTGATTGTAGTTTTTCAATTTTATTTTAATTTTAATAGAAATTTGTATGAATAAACTTCAATACAAATTCATTGAAAGAGAAATTTTGTTTTTTCTGTTCCCGTACTTTTTACAAGTACGAAGAGAAAATTCATTAATTCTCTTTAGCCAGAAAAGTTCTGGAACAAAGCTATATTATAACCATTTGTTTTTAGCCAATATTATTTATCGTTATTTTTATTTTAGTTTGGTAATTTAACAAAATCCAAATAGATTTGAAATATCAAGCCGATTTGAGATATGAACAGGGAAGAAAGGATACAAACAAGGAATAGGAAAAGGTCAATGCCAAATACAAATTTAAATAATTCCACGATAATTAAACGTAATAAGAAAATTTGATACGTTTGAGTCGAAAGGTTTGGGTCAAACTACCTTAGAAAGACACAAGATCAAGTTAGTTGAGGGAGCAGAGCCAGTAAAGGATAGATATTATCCGATTTCTCCGGCCGTACAAGAAATCACATACAAAGAAATAGACAACATGCTCAAGTAATAGAACTTAGTGAGAGCCCGTGGAATAATAAGATTACGATAGTTAGGAAACCGGGTAAGAACAGATTGTGTCTCGATGCAAGAAAGCTTAATAGTTTAACAATAAAAGATGCATATCCTCTGCAGAATATTGATGGGATTCTTAGCCGGATCGACAAAACTTATTTTATAAGTAGCGTCGATCTCAAATATGCATTTTGGCAGATCGAGTTGGAGCCAGAGAGCAGGCCTTACACCGCATTTACAGTTGCTGGAAGGCCGCTTTATCAATTTAGAGTAATGCCATTCGGCCTTTGTAATGCGGCTCAGCGCTTGTGTCGATTAATGGATAGAGTTATCCCACAAGAGCTTAAGGATAACGTGTTTATTTATTTAGATGACCTTTTGATTATTTCCAATGATTTTGACAAGCACTTAGAATTATTGGAAAAGGTAGCTAAATCGTTAAGTGAAGCCAACTTGACAATAGGACTAACGAAGTCTCAGTTTTGTTTCAGAGAATTAAAATATTTAGGTTTTATAATAGGAAATGGCATGTTGAGAACGGATCCGGATAAAGTTAAATCGATAACGGAAATGAAAATACCAAGATCCATAAGAGAAGTTCGTAGCTTCTTGGGTACCGCTGGCTGGTATCGCCGCTTTATAAAAAACTTTTCCGTAATAGCCGCACCATTAACAGATACTCTGAAGAAGGCAAACAAATTTGTAATGACTCCAGAGGCAGTTGAAGCTTTCGATAAACTCAAGAGAGCATTAACCTCCGCACCTGTCCTTCGACATGCTGACTTTACAAAAAGATTCTGTTACGGAACGCGTTTCTGGCGAGGTTTCCGACTATGGAGCATGTTATTGATCTCAGGTGGTCCCAACCCTGCTCACCAGTCACCGAACCGAACAGTAAACAAAGAAAAAAAAAACTACAATAAACAAACTACAGAAACTAAACAAACCAAAACAACCACATGAAGAGATTCCGAGACAGCTGTTCGTCTCGTCTGCCCTCCCGACCTTGTCGCAGCTGCATACGCATCCAATTCAAGCTTACGACCCAATAATCCACATGACCTTTACCCTTGGCTTACCATTCCATCATTACCTGTATCTTGCTAAATAAATAATATAGAAAGTGTTACATAAATCTACCAATCACATCTTTTATTATATATCCTAGATGTAGTTTAATGTTTCTTAACTTGACAATATTACTACATAAACTTGGACAGGCATAAATACAGTTTTCCCTCGCATCTTTTCTTTTATAAATTTTAATTTTCATGTAAATAATCTTTACTATCTTTGGCTCAAGCTAATGTTCTTCCTTAAACTTTAGGTTTCGCGAACTATATATCTTCATATACCTAAAAGAGCTCTCTGAGGTTAGATTCACCTGCCACTATACAGGGTCCAATACTCTATCTCGCGTAGCTTGTGCTCAAGATAACTATTTCACTTTTTATTTATTACTAATCGAGGGATAAGTGTACTTAACAAATAAATTGTAAAACACACACATAAACTATAACACTCGACGCGAGACTTATAAATTTGGTTCACAGTAACACCACTACAATTAAAACTAACTTAATCTATATTCGGGAACGTGATATTTATATATATCTTTTTAATCTTTTCCTATATTTTGGTCTTCATCCATCAATATTGGATAATAAATAAAAGATATTTCCCACTTCTACCCTTCTAATCCTTCCGCAACTTTCATTTAGAGGGTTTCTAGGAATTATTATCCAAAAAAAAAACGAACTAATTATATTGGTTAGGAAAAGTACACTTGCCATTTAAATATTTTTGGACCACATAAGCAAGAATAAAAACATTGTTCTTGTGTTTAATATATATTAAAAAGGGTTACCTGGCTATTATATATGCTTAGGGCGTGGGTTTATAAAGACGTCTATGGTGACCTCGTCTCAAGATAATAATAGCCAGCTGTTTTTTAAAAGAAATTCGGTTTTAAGAAACATTTCAAATTAATTCTTCTTTGTTATTTTCCACTTACGTTCCCCTTTAATTCTCGCAATCACACACAAAAATTTATATTATCCACACAGTAATTTTTAATTTATTTTCCTTTCACCTTTTTTTTCAACGTCTTTACTGGACAACTTTAGTTTCGCTTTTAAATTTCATTTTTACCCTTTTAATCTTAACTACTTTGTCTTATGCGATTTTACTGGAAAATCTATGTTGCCAGTTTTCCTACCGTTAACTGTAAGTATTTACAAATATCTATTTATTTAAAATATATATTTAAATATCTTATTGCTATCAGCCAAATATTTATATTATATTTATATAGTTTTCCCCAATTCTTTATGTACCGACAGACATCTTTCCTGTTCCTCCTGACCCATAATTATCATCCAAATCTTCGTCCGCACTTATTATGGTATCAGGCTCTCATCAAAATTTGCAAATATTGTTTTCATTCATATATTATTTTATTTTTTTCAAAACCCGCCAAAATTATTATTTTCCATTCCTGAATGGAAAATGCAACTCTGTGCTTTACGCCTTTTCGTCGCGTTACTACATTATAGTAAAGGTGTTTCTACACCGAACAGCTGACACACAACCAAACACATGAGAAATATACAAGAAGAAGAAAAAACAACACAGAACATGCAATTAAAACAATTTGACTCCACAAACAAACAAAAAGACATACAACAAACATCGAGACGTGCAAAAAAGATTACAATCAATGGTAAGTACACATGTAAATCATTTATATATATAAATAACTAAATTATTTCTTTTTTTTCAGAAACACAAAAAACAACAGGCTTAACACACTGGACTACCGAATCAACAAACAAAAGAACATGAGGAACGAAAACACCAAATATAATATACAAACAGGACTCCAGACAACAACAGAAGAGAACACAAACAAAACACAGTGCCAGCAGTTCTACTTTGGGTTCGGATCACCCGCAACAATTCTTTATACAATGCGATGCATGTGATTATGGAATCGGTGCAGTGCTTTACTAGATACATGGAGAAAAAGAGGAGCATCCTATTGCATTTTTTTCCCAGAAGCTAAACGGTTGTCAGCGAAATTACACAGTTACTGAGAAGGAGTGTTTAGCTGCCGTAATGGCGGTTAAGAAATTCAGGCAATATATTGAAATGATGCCATTTACAATTGTGACAGACCACGCCAGTCTAAAATGGCTCATGTCGTTAAAAGATCTCACGGGAAGATTGGCTAGGTGGTCTTTACAATTGCAGGCATTTGATTTCCAAATAGAGCATAGAAAAGGCTCCGAGAACATAGTAGCAGATATGCTATCAAGGCTGCCCAATATTGATGAGATTGACATAACTGATCTGCTAGGATTTGAAACCACCGAATTTGAAAGCCATGAATACAAAGATTTGGCAGCCCATATAGAAAAAACGCTGAAATGTTGCCTGATCTGAAGGTTGAAAAGGGGCTAGTATACAAGAAGACTTATGATCAGAATGAGGAAGAGTCTCCGTGGAAACTGTGGATTCCAACGACAATTACTAATGCTATTATAGAAAATGCACATTCAACACTAATAACAGCTCACGGAGGAGTTACAAAAACATTGGAAAGGTTGAAAAGATTTTTTTACTGGCCGAAAATGACGATACAAGTGAAAAATTTTATAGCAAATTACCAAATATGCAAGGAAACTAAACCTAACAATATAAACATGAGACCGGAGATAGGACATCAAGTGGTAACTGAAAGACCCTTTCAAAAACTATATATAGATTTCATGGGAAAATATCCCAGGTCTAAAAAGGGAAACTGTTATATCTTTATAGTTATGGATCATTTTACGAAATTTATATTTTTAAAAGCAATGAAAGAAGCCACAACCGCAAATGTCATTAACTTCCTTGTCACTGAGATATTTCACAAATTTGGAGTGCCTGAGGTGTTGCACAGCGATAACGGTAGCCAATTTATGGCTAAAAGTTTTGAAAGCCTAATGAATCTTTACAAGATACAACATCTTAAAACTGCTGTATATTCACCACAGAGCAATGCAAGCGAACGGGTGAACCAATCGGTCTTATCGGCGATACGAGCATACCTGGATAAAGATCACCGCGACTGGGATATGTATTTGTCCGAAATTGAATGTGCCCTAAGAACTTCGGTACATACTGCCACAGGTGTTACGCCGTTTTTCGCTTTATTTGGGTATCACATGTTTAGCAATGGGGCGGATTACAAATTAAGGAGGAAACTTAAGTCGCTAACGGACCATGAAATAGTGCAAATGAATGTTAATGATAGAATGCAATTGATCAGGGAAAAGATGCAGCAGAATATGGCTAAGGCCTATGAGAGAAGCGCTGAGAGATACAACTGGGGTGCGAGAATTGTAAAGTTTATCCCAGGGCAAGAGGTATATCGACGTAACAATATTTTGAGCAACTTTGGAAAGAACATAAACTCAAAATTCTGTAGGAAATTTTTAAAATTCAGAGTGGTAAAGGCTATCGGGAATAACATGTATGAACTGGAGACACTCCAGGGAAAATCACTGGGTGTGTATCATTCAAAAGATATCAAAATATAGCCGAAAAACTTTTATAACTTCTAGTACTAGTGTGAACTTGGCCTATTTATGTATTGTACTACAATCTATGTTAAGAAAATCTAACTTACCAGAATTATGCGGCAAATAAAGTTTTGGTTGTTCTTATGATGTTGTGCAGTCCCTCAGTTTTGTTAATATGATTCCACATGATGCCAAATCAAATTTTAGACTGTAAAGATAGTTATGAAAAGGATTAAACAAAGTAAAAACTTATGTAAATAGTAATATATATACTTCCCGTAGTCAATTTTCGGATAATGTATTCGTTATCTTCAATAACATTTCATAATGAAAGTTAATGGAAGTTTCAACATGTGTGCAGGTGAAGTTCGCGACGTTAACAGGAATGATAGGGGTGTTTCCAAGTTAACCCAGCAAAAAATAATTGATGTCATACTTTACAAACCACATCTTAATCACATCTTAAAATGCGATTTCATATTTTTTACTTTTATAAACCAAATATTTCCTTACAAATGAAACCCCAGTTAAAAGTGAGGAAAGAGATGTGGAAAAGTCATTACAAATAACATATTTGAAGTACATCAAGATTTGGTGAAAGAGTAGTGAAATTTACATAAGCGTGTCATTAAGAGAATGTGTTTTATTTTTGACATCCAAATATCGGATTTTTACTGCTTCTAAAAATAAGATCAGATGTAGTTCAAAGCTGCCAAAAATGAACAACATCCCTCCAATGACACGCTAATGTAAAATTCATAGGTTTTACACCCGAATTTGAAGCACTTCGGGTTACTAGTTGTGATGAAAATTCTACATCTTTTTCCACACTTTTTTTGCTGGGAAGTTGCACAGATTCTAGCAGTATTAAATAATTGACGATCCAATATGATGGTGAATGTATATAGTATTTAAGGATGATTGTTTTTAATAGGCTTTGTAAAAGCATTCGTTTATTTTGCGCCAAAGGTGCTACAGTTGGTCAAGAACCAATTACAAGAATTGGAATTTATTTGTTTGTCAGAATCTGTAGCAATGTTGGGGAGCCACTATGCATTTTCCTTGTGAAAAAAGCAATAGTAGGCGGGTTTTTATCTTTATGCATGTTATATATTATCCGAAGACAATAGATTGATGTATGGCATAATCTGAGTGGATAAATAGAAAAATAACTGACCCAGCAAAAAAAGTGTGGAAAAAGATGTAGAATTTTCATCACAACTAGTAACCCGAAGTGCTTCAAATTCGGGTGTAAAACCTATGAATTTTACATTAGCGTGTCATTGGAGGGATGTTGTTCATTTTTGGCAGCTTTGAACTACATCTGATCTTATTTTTAGAAGCAGTAAAAATCCGATATTTGGATGTCAAAAATAAAACACATTCTCTTAATGACACGCTTATGTAAATTTCACTACTCTTTCACCAAATCTTGATGTACTTCAAATATGTTATTTGTAATGACTTTTCAACATCTCTTTCCTCACTTTTAACTGGGGTTTCATTTGTAAGGAAATATTTGGTTTATAAAAGTAAAAAATATGAAATCGCATTTTAAGATGTGATTAAGATGTGGTTTGTAAAGTATGACATCAATTATTTTTTGCTGGGGAGTGCAATATTGAGATTTTTCCAGGGCTATGATATTTTTATATAGTGCAATATTAGAATAGAATTAATTATTTATTTATTTATTTATTTTTTAATATATTTTAAATTTTATGTTTTGTCCTAATATTGTATTATATGTATTTATATTACGGTTTTGTGGTGAAATCTTCGAAGCACTAGTTATGACTTCTACCAAAGAATAAACACTTCTACGTTTTTGTTTTGTTTACTTCTTTTATAGGAAAGATTAACCAATTTAAGTGCAATAATATTTTTATCTGTGATATATTTTTTTTTAAGTGCAATATTAGGTTAAGAAAACAGTGAAATTATTAATAAAAGTATCCCAGCAAAAAATAATTGATGTCATACTTTACAAACCACATCTTAATCACATCTTAAAATGCGATTTCATATTTTTCACTTTTATAAACCAAATATTTCCTTATAAATGACACCCCAGTTAAAAGTGAGGAAAGAGATGTGGAAAAGTCATTACAAATAACATATTTGAAGTACATCAAGATTTGGTGAAAGAGTAGTGAAATTTACATAAGCGTGTCATTAAGAGAATGTGTTTTATTTTTGACATCCAAATATCGGATTTTTACTGCTTCTAAAAATAAGATCAGATGTAGTTCAAAGCTGCCAAAAATGAACAACATTCCTCCAATGACACGCTAATGTAAAATTCATAGGTTTTACACCCGAATTTGAAGCACTTCGGGTTACTAGTTGTGATGAAAATTCTACATCTTTTTCCACACTTTTTTTGCTGGGATACGGTATACATGTTTTCGTCCTAATATTGACACTTTTCTATGTCTTTGATTTAATATTGTTTAACACTTAATTTGGTTAAATCATTTAAACACCTGAATGTTATTGAACGTTCACATCGTTAGTTTTTTTTATTGCATTATTTTTACCTGATATTAGTTGATTCATTGGGACATCAGTAGGGATTGTGATACCCAAATTGCCACCATTGGAAATAGTTAAGTGTTAATGCCCGGCTGATAGAATCTCAGGGTGTGGGAGTTCCCCACGTTGGTCACGCTGAAATTTAGCCGCACACCGCTCCCTCTGAATACCATCAGCGGCATCGGAGTTTTGTTGCGGGTGTATTTTCGTTTTGTATGTGGGCCTCGTTGTTTTTAAAACGTTGATTTGTTTTCTGTATGAATTTTTGTTTAGTTCTTTAAGTTTGTTGTTTGTAGTTTTTTTTTTGTGTTTGTTAGTTTTTTTTCTCTTTTTTTAGGCATCATTGTTTCTTTTCTTTGTGGTTTTGTAGGGTCCGGTCCTGGTAACGATGGCCAAGTGGTAGGAGTTCTTTTTGTTTTGTTGAATTTAATTTTTTTGATTGTTTATTTTATTATTTTCACATAGATGTTTTTTGTTTATGTTTGCTCAGTTTTATTGGTGGTTGAATGTCAGCTGTTCATTACTGGAAGTCCATTATGGAAAATGAGCTTTTGCATGCAGAGTTGTATAAAAAGAGTAAAAACAAGGTTGAATTTATAGGTAGATTTGTAGTTTATCCGAAGGAAGAGAAAAGTTAAACGATTTTTCTCTGCGGAACAGAGACCTGCGCCGATCGGCTCACAGCCGGCTAAGCCAAGCCGCCGAATAAATTTAGAAGCCGCCGCCGCCGAAAATTTGTTAGGCTTATATCGGCTTAAATTGAGCCGCCGATTCCTATATGCATATTAATACTATATGTATTAAAATTAAACAAATTAAAAACAAACTAACTAACTAACTAAAAAGATACATTTCTATTTATTATTTATTGGCAATTTCATTTGATTAGTTTCACATTTTTTGGCCACTGTAGCTAGTCTTGAACTACATTATATATATTTTGCAAAAAAAAGTATTGAAAGAAATATTTCTCTGCTCATGTTTAACAATCTTCCCAGGCTTTACGCGTTGTGTTTACTCATTTATGTGGAAATTGTGGTTTTTACCTTCAAACGTATAAACGTAACTACAATTAATCATACGTACAGATGGCTTATGGTAGGAGGCAGCAATAGCAGTAAGGACCATTACATAGATAGGAGGTAGGGGTTATGAAATGAAAAATCAATTTATTAGGAATTAGCAGCAACAACAAAAACAAACTTATTGAATATCAATATGAAACGAAATACTCAATGAATAAGCAGTGTTGTTGTTGTTGCTTATATCAAAGCATGAAAAGAAATTGTCTTTTTTATGAAATTTTCAGAGGTTGTCTCGGATATTTGCTCATATCACCGGTATTTATGGACCGATTTTGCTGATTTTAAATAGCGATCTTCTCGAAAGCATGTCTAACAGACCCCGATATCTGGGCTCCTCTAAAAACTGATTTCAACAAACACACAGACGGACATACAGACAGACAGACGGACATAGCTTAATCAACTCCGCTACCTATAAGGATCCAGAATATATATACTTTATGGGGTCGGAAAATTATATTATAGAAATTACAAACGGAATGATAAACTTATATATACCCTTCTCACGAAGGTGAAGGGTATAGTTATTACCTTTTTATATTGTTTACTGAAAATTTAAAATATGTGTTTTTGGAAATTCGTGTTTTTAAACTGAGTACTACAAATTATGCATTCCAATTCTTTATATAAATATATATAACTGTTTTCAAAAATAGCTAAAAATTTCTAAAAAATAAAACTGATGCTTTTAGACATTGTATTCGATAAGTAAAAATTTAGTTTAAATTCAAATGAGAAAATTTGATATATTTAAAATTTGTTAAAAGGGTAAAATATCATGAAACATTTAAAAAGTTTTAAAACATTCTTTCATTTTTCTCGAAAAGACGTTTTTTGAATTATGTTAGTATTATGAGCATTATTTTTGATTGGCCTGATGTTTTCCTTTCCATATCACAAAACTAAAAGAACTTCAATAATATCTGTTTTTTAATCGGATACGTAAATACTAAAAACGTTTACTTTTAAATTTTATGCATTTTGCAATATAGCAAATTTATTCGGCTCACAGCCGACTTAAAGCCGCCGCTGAAACTTTTCTACATAGGCCGCCGCCGCCGTCAGATTTGATCGGCGCAGGTCTCTGCTGCGGAATTGCTTGTAATGAGTTCAAGGCCATAGGAAATAAGTTAATGACCCGATGTAATCGTGAGAATATCACCTTTCTCCCTATGTGTGTGTTTCGCTCTGTGTATGTTGAATACGTATTTGATTTTCTGTTCAATTGTAAGTTATTTTGTAGCGGACCATGGTCATCAAAAGGGTTGAGAATCACACCCCGAGGTGATGCCGCGTGAGCTAGTAGGGTGGTGGAATCCAGTGGCCAACAGAAGGTTCGTAACAAATATTAAAAAAATTAACAAAAAACCTAAAAAGCAAAATACTTTATTGACCTTAAAAATTAACAATACGTTCACATTTGATCAAAAATCTCGTTAATTAATATCACGATTTTACTTTTTATGGTATTTTATTAAAATATAAGACAAATTGCTTTATTTTGCTAAAAATAATTGTTCAGATAAAGTTTTTTCTTAAAATTTATACAATTTTACATAGGCAAATTACTTAATTGATTCACTGTACCTCTTCTCACCAAACAATTTCAAAATCAAACAAAAGCTGATTTTAGACTTTTTTAAATGTCAAAAGTGACACCTCTGTATACTTTGTGCTGCAGGTTGATGATGCCATCGACCCATCACTCATTTGAGTGTTAGCCGGGTTAATGGCAGCAACCACCTGTTGTCCCCAGAGAGTGGACCAACGCAGAATGTCACTTTACACAGGCAAATTACTTAATTGATTCAAACAACAACTGTTTCCATCTTACTTTGTTATTGTTTTTTACCAATCGTGTAAACACAAAAAATATAAATCATACGACTTTTATTCTTTTTTGTCATACGGATGGAATTTCTTTTCTTTTTCATTAGACGTCGTACGTAAAGTGTGATCGTCTGAAGGGCCCTTTAGTATTTGTGTTTGTTCAAAGTAAATATATAAAGCAAGATATATTAATTATAAGATAGTGTTAAGGGCGAATTCAGACAACGTTGAGCGAATTCATTTTCAACACTACAAAAAACAACACACTCAAGATATATTAATTATAACGTAGTGTTAAGGGCGAATTCAGACAACCTTGAGCGAATTAATTTACAACACTACAAAAAACAACACACTATTTGTTTTTGTTTAGGCGAATTAAGGTGTAGGTATAACGTCAAAAACAGCTGTTTTATAATATCAGGCGAATTTGTAAAAATTAAAGAAAAGTTGTTTATAAAGATAAAGATTATTTTTAAAATATTATTAAAAGTTTTAAAATACAAAACAATTAGTACAATCTTTGACCAGGTTGAAACTGGCTTTGTTTTCGATATATTCTGCAACCTTAATATTGGAATTGTATGCAGTTTCTACAGTTTGCTTTCACAACTACGGCACAACTAGGTAAATAATGAAAATAAATAATTTATGGTGCACATTTATACTTTTAATCGTTTTTTCCAAATATCTTCAAAAATATGAAAGCATTAACGTGTTGCCGTGGATGAAACATCATATTCCTCTTAGTCCAGCATTAATTATAAAGAACCTCACTTATGTGAAATACATGAAGTTCCTGTCAGGAACTCAATTGCATTAGAAACCCAGAAATACAAAAACATGCTTCTAATATTGAACCTGAAAAGGGAACAAAAGTGTAATTGTTTGTGAAACCTCCTCTATATTCATTTGTACATATTTATTGTACAAGAGCACTTATAATAGAAATATTCATTATTGTTATTGCAATGTCGTTCACTGGTCATTGCATTGGTCACCAATGTCATTCATTAGTTATTGCAGTCGTAGGTACACAAAAGTTTCCTCCAAGTTTATTATATTGTATTGAAGAACTTGATAGAAGAACTTTATTCCATACAATTGTGTATAAATCCATAATGGTGTCAGTCAAATAACCGGAAAAATGTCTATCACTGTTTTTGTAGAGTAGACTCCTAATGCATTTGTTGATATAGGAAGGACACGTATAAAGTCTGTGTAGTTGATAATTAATATACCTTGATATAAAGTAGACTCGTTTGAACAGCTGACAATTTCACCAAAAATTAACATTTTGGTAGGGTTCTATACAAGGCGAATTCATATAAGGTGGTGTTATTCAATCAGCTGATAATTTTTTTCTTAATTCGCCTGGTTTACGTAGCTGTCAAAGTTTGTTATTGTTTACATTTTTATATTTATAAATGTCCGTTGAACGGAGAAAAACTTCGTTAATATTTTGAATTATTTATGTAAAAAATCTAAAAATACCAAGTATCTCGTAAACAAATATCATTTTATTTAAATAATGGCATAATTGGTATGTATACAAACATTTTATTTAAGAGAAATATTTTTTTTTTCTATTAAATGGTAACATATTAAACAATATTGTTTTATATTTCATATTAACATTTTGTAGATAACGTGATTAACTAAAAAAGTCTCTTCCGGAAAATTTAATATTAAGAAACGCATATGAAGTATTTACCCGGCTGGTGGCAGCTGACGTCTACGTTATGGCTTAATTTTGAAATCTATTAAATGTTAACAAATTAAACAATATTGTTTTATATATACACTATGTAGATAAAGAGATTAACTACAAAAAAGTCTGTTCCGGAACGCTTTATATAACAAAACCCATATGAAGTATTTACCCGTCCGGCGGCTGCTACATTATGGCCAAATATTGAAAATTACTCCGCCGGAGTAGAATTATCCATTCGCAACAAATATTCATTCATTCGTAATATAATATTTTCATGAATATGTACTTTTTTATGTTTATTTTTCACAAAAAATTAAGTTTTACTTAACTTCAGGCACTCACTTAAATTTTGCAAATTAATCTGTCGGAATAAAATTTTTCGTTTGAAACAAACATTATTCAATTCAGAATATATTTTCCTCACAAATTTTAATATCTTTATCTTTATTTTTTAATATAAACTTTTTACAAAAATTTTTCATTTTCATTTTTCATGAATACGCCGTACTTATGGTTTTTGACATCTACGTAAACCAAATGCAAATACAAAATACATGTAAAATGTTGTTGTTGCAGAACTGCCACCACCTTATCTGAATTCGCCTTGGTTCTATAGTTGAAACGAAAAGTCGACTTTTCGACGTTTTTCATTTAGTTAAAAGTCGACGCACATAAAGAAAACAACCAACGAACGCACATAAAGAAAACAACCCGACGAAAAATTTAACAAACCGTAACAGCTGTTTTATCAAAATAAACATTTTTTTTGGTGTGGTGAGTTTTTTTGTTTACAAATATGTGTTTCTGCAAGTGGAAAAGACGCAAAAACTCGTTTTCATTATTTACATTTTCAATATGTATTTATGCACGTGGAAAAGATTAAAAAAAATTGATTTTCATGACTTACTTTAAAAAAATTATTTTTGATCAATTAAAATATGTATATAAATGTGGAAAGGAACAAATCTGATAAAATATAAATATATTTGGGATTATATCGTTACAGAATGCCTTTTAAT